TCTGTTTATGTTTAGAAGTGTTACTTTTTGAACAAAATTTCATTGGAGTTTTACACAAGTATTTTTGTGTGTTTTATGTCATAAGATTCCTACACTAGTTAAATACTAGTAGTTAATTAAATTATTTATTTATTATTATCAGGCTAAGTTAAATAGTTAAATTATTTTTTTATTATCAGGCTAAACTGCCAATGTCAGAGATAGCAACAACAATCAATGAGTTTCGGTCCCGCCATCTATCTGAGCTAACCGAGGTATGATAATGTTTTGACCACTTAGTCTTATATTAGATGAAGTGTCGGTTTGGAGTTTGGATAGGTATGTAGTCTTTATGCAGAAAGTTCTTAGGACTAAATAGCTATCGCTTGTATTTCACAGTTGTGCCAAACCACCGGAAGTTCTCTTGGTTACGGGTTTTCTAGAGTTGTAAATAAAGCCAAATCACAGCCCTCGGACTTTTCAGACGAGGCCGAAGGTACATTGGCAATTTAACTCCGTTCTCTGCATTGTTTCGTGGTTTGAAAAAAAATCAATAGAAAGAAATGGAATGGAGAACACACTATTGAGGATTTCGTGCATACTCTACTTCTCTCACCCACGCTATATAGATGTACAGTACAGTAAACTAGGAGCGAACTTTGTGGGGGTGAAACACGACATCAGGTGGGACTTGAATTTGGCAAAGTTTACCCATCATTCTGTAGTTTTACAGTGTAATGATCCCTTTCAACTTGCATGCCTTATTATACTTGTAAAGAAAGACGGTCTGCTCTGAATTTTGTTAAATTTAGTATGTGATTCTTATCAGTTGGAAGGAAATTTTGCCCGTTCTGATAATAGTTACCACGTATTATATTTAAAAGAATCTATGGCATGTGTTGGATAAAACGTAAAAACATGTACTCCCTTCCCTTTGTATTTTAAAGTTTCCTACACTTTCTCTTCTTAGATTCCTAGCTACCCCATATAAAGTCTTTTTGCATCGTATCATAATCGGTTTTCGAGCATCAGTTTTGCCCCGGGTTTGGCTTCTTCAAGCCATGTAAACTAAAACGTTCTTTGTTCCAGGTGTGTGAGGCTTATGAGTGGTACCCACGTGTGGTCCGCTTAGACAGCAGTCACGTATTCAAACACTTACCTATGTACATAGTGTTGTAGTTAGGGGCTCGATGAGGCTGGACAGGTACAAAGATTTTTTTTTTTGGAAAATTTTAACATAAAAAAGTTATACACTTATATATTTAAATGCGAGGATATCGCACTTTCAAATTTCAATCAATCCCTATAGTATCCACATTGAAACGTAATCCTCGTGTGTCTAAGTTTGTAAATGTGACTCTTTAATTGTTCCAATGGTTGTAAATGTGATCCTTTTAATGGTGACACTTGCACACTTGAAAATATGGGGATACGTTTCAATGTGTGCACTATTTGAGGGATAGAAAGTGTGATTTTCCCAATAACATTATTAAAATTGGAGGTAGGATGGGGCATACCATAGCCCCTAGCTCTGACCATGTACATACACTAATAAGAAGAATCTGGTAAAATGGATGGTTTAAACTTTAAAGGCACTTCCCAATGGAGCTATGTGCAAGCCTTATAAACTTGAATAGGCCCGCATGAACCGCTAGAGCTAGAATTGGCGTTGTGGGCAAGTTGGTAGTGCAATTATTGGTGGACTCGGTTTGGGCCACCTGGCCCGGGAACTGGCCCGGCCTGCTACTGTGCAGGACCGGTCCGGCCCGGTTCTTCGGGCCCAAAACCGGTCTAAGGCCCGGTTATTTAGGCTGAGCCAGGCGGGCTCGGGTTGGTAAAAAGGAGGCCCGACTGGGCCCAGGCTCGGTTCGAGTCAAATTGATTTTTTTTTTCATTTTCTCTGGCTCCACCCGGGTTGGGCTTGATGTCAGGGATAGGTAGGTAAGCCAAAAAAAAAAATTAACCAAGCCCAGCCCGGACCCGGTGGCTACCCGGGCCGGTCTCGGGTCCACCTATTCAGAACCGTCGGCCCGCCTGGGTGGCTGGGCCTAGGCCTGACCTGGACCCGGCCTGACCTGACCCGAATCCACCCCTAAGTGCAACTAAATATTAATACCTCCATTCCGTTGAAAAGTTGCCATTGCAAAATGACATGATTCTTTAGATATGGCAATTCGAATATGTTTTGAGAAATAAATTTGATGTATATATAATACAATGAGGTTAATGGTGATAATTGTGATGTATAGATGCATTACTTTTTATATTTAATGACGCATTTGTTATTTAAGAGTGTTAATTGTTTTTTTAAATAGAAATAAGAACCTTTATGTGAGACATCCAAAAAAGGAAAATGAGAACTTTTATATGGAACGGATGGAGTACTATGTAAACCCGTGTTCTTTCCAAGGCGTCAAAGTTTTATAAAGGTTGGTTTTGGCTTCGAAATCATTTTTCCGCACTGGGAGAAGTGAATATTCCTCTTTCCACGAACACTAAAGTAAAAACTGATCAAATTTGATTTATACGTAAAATAATAAAATAAAAATTGTATAATTGATATTTGTACAAAAGATAGAGAAATAATTTAATCATATATTTGCTACTTTAGATAGTAATTATAAATATTTTGAAACGACTAAATAAGGAAAGTTGATAAAGTTTTGTAGGACGAAGCGAGTATTACTTAGACAAGGGGTCTCATTTTTTATGTCAGACTTATTATATCTCGGGTATTGCGTGTGTAAACTGAAGTAAAGTGTTTTTTGCGTCACAACAAATTTATGTGCTTAATGAGCGTGTGAGGTTTTGTGTAGCCCAGTAGAACACACCCATAAATGTTCTTTTCACATCTCCTTTTTCCTTTTCATTTGAGCATAAATCTGGTTGATGAGATCCTCTACCTTATGGCAGAGTACCTTACCAAAATAGAGGGCATTGATTAAAATAGAGGCCTCGAGATTAGTGCCCAAAATGGACCCACTCATCTTATGTCATTGATTTTTTTATCTGATGGTTCGAAATGGCCTGGTACCCTCCTTGTCTGCCTAAGTAAGGGAGAGGAACTGGATCCTGTCATGTGTATCCTATTAATTTACCACCATAGCTTTGTCCCGTAAACCAGTGCTTTTGGCGCATATTCGTGACCGTTACTATCTTTTCCATCTCCTTTATCTTTTCTCATTTGAGCGTAAATCCGGTTCATGACATTTCATTAGTGTGTCATGTGTATCCCATTAATTTACCTCCATAGCTTCGTTCCATAAATCAGTGCATTTGGCGTGTTTTGGAACACATTATAAGACCAATACTAGTTTCTTTTTCCATTTCCTTTCTTCTTTTCTATTTGAGCGTAAATCATGTTGATGAATCTCATCAAAGTGTAACATGTGTATCTCGTTATGTAATTTATTATGACCATGTTCGTGTCCCTTAAGCGGGTACTTTTTGCTTGTTTTAGAGCACACTCAAAAGATATTCATCACTGCTTGTTTCCCTTTTCATCTTTTTCACCAGTTGAGTGTAAACCTGGTTGATGACATCTCATTAAGTGTATCCCGATGCTTGCTATTTAACTTGCTTGCAGAGAATGAAATTGTACAATCCTCATTCGTATCTCCAAATCAATCTTTCAAATTAGAATGAGATAATAATTTTTTATTCAATATGAAATTCAAAATGATTTTCTACATCCTTAGAAAACAACGCCCGGTTGAGTAAGGACCGGGCTGTGCTTACAAGAATAGCCTTTCAACATTTCAATAATTGAATAAAATATTCAAATCAAATCAAATCAAACATACAATATAAAACTTTGATAAGTAATACTACAAATGGAATTGGAATTCAAAAGTCATGTACCTTTATATTTGGTTCTGATTCAAAACTTGCTTATTTGACTTGATATCCTTTTATGTATATGATGTTTTTAATTCGTTTATTATGAGCTATACTTGAGACCATGAACATATGTATTGAATAAGCACAGAAAGTTATGTCATTTGTTGTTTGAAAAGGCTCAAATGTTCAATTTATATTTTTTCCAAAATGGGTATTACAACTTTACAAGTCGTTTTTTTAACTAAGCTAAGGGATGTTTAAAAATGTGTTGTATGATGTGTCTGCATTACTAACATCTAAACCACATACCTAACCTTTCTTTACAAAAAAAACAATCTATTACACACCAAATGCATGCATTTTCGTACTATCCACGAACCATATGGTTTCATGTGGTTTTTATATGAATTTTACAATTTACGTATATGTTTCATATTCGCTACTTTTTTGTGATGTCACGTACACTCTTTCTCATGCATATAATCCTTTACCAATTTTCATTCTTACTTATTTCCCAATTTTTTTTACTTTTTAATTATCCATCTCCTATATATTCCGGTCTTCTGTTACCAGATACATATATTACTGCGGCACTTATTTTTGAGCATTAACTTTACAAATAAATAATTTTCTCAAATCTTATCTTTTAACTTCTCATGTTGAATTATTTAGGGCAACTTCTTTATGAGATTATTAGGAAATAAAGAATATCATAATTGAGTAGGAGAGATTAATTGATTGTATCATTTGATAGAAAATTTGATAAATATACGAACTCTGATTATTATCACAGATTGGTGAAGATCATTTGGATAATTTGAGAATATTCTCATGTTGAATTATTTAAGGTCAACTTCTTTATGAGATTATTAGGAAATAAAGAATATCACAATTGAGTAAGAGAGATTAATTTGATAGAAAATGTGATAAACATACGAACTCTGATTATTATTATCGATTGGTGAAGATCATTTGGATAATCTTGAGAATATTCTAAAAAGTTATTTGAACAATCATATATGTTTTTAGTATATATTTTTTTCTATAATGTTAAAAAGAGTGTCTAAATGTAAATATCGTAGTTGATATTGTTGAGAAAAAATTATTAAAATGTCACTGATTTGTTTTTATGTCTGTATCACGGATGTTACATCTATATCTTGCAAAATATAAAGGCCTACGGCCTACCAAAGTATGATTGCTAAATTATACAGAGTGATCTTTTTTCTTCTTATCCGGCAAGTCCATAATATAACTGCCGTAATTCTAATTCCCTCGTCAGTTCACTGAAGCAATGCAATGTGGTCGGTCGCAAGACCTCGAAATCTCTCTGCATTGAAGCAGCTAGGGTTTCCTCCCTCCCTTCTCAATCGTTGGCTATGTTCCTCCGCTACGGAAATGATACCTCTGAGCGGCGGCGAACTCCGAAGCGGAGAGTTGCTGAAACTGGATGAGGTCGAGAAAATCCTCACCGATGTCAAGGCAGACAACGTCCAAGTTATCCCCATTCAGAAACGCGACGAGTTCGCCGATTTCATGGTCGTCGCCACCGGACGGTCAGCCTGGCACGTCCGGAACATTGCTCAAGCGCTAATCTATAAGGTTAAGCAAAAGCAGAAAGGGGCGAGAAGGATGTTGTTGCCAAGCGTGGAAGGGGTAGAAGGAGGGAAGTGGATTGTCATCGATTCTGGCAGATTAGTAATCCATGCTTTTGATGAGAAGGTGAGATCGTATTACAATTTGGAGAATCTTTGGGATACAGATTCATCAAAAGGAGATGAAGATCAGGACAAGTATTTGGAGAACGCGTTCGTTAAGGTTCGTCCTAAGAATAATTCTAAGAAACGCCCGAAAGCAATTGCGCCCAACTCTTGAGATCGTTACGGTTTATGTTTTTTTTTTCAATCGTTAGGGTTTATGTTTATTCTAAGAAGATCCCGTTTTATGCATTCTGGAGATTCCTATGCTTGGAATTTCCTTCTTATTTGTGAAAATCCTTGTTTGAGTGGATAATTCGTAACCATTTTATATACTTTGGGAATGATAAATTACTCAACAGTCTCAGAATTTGTGTTTAAGCTTCAGGTTTGCAGTGTATTTCATATTTATGCAGTGTTCCAGGTTACTTTGTTTGTGGATGCTTTTTCCCATTTCCTAGTTAGTGCGTGGTAGGGTTAAATGTTGAATTGTTGATGGATTTGCCAAAATTTGCTGAATTGATTTAACTACCTACACCTTATTTTAACAATATCTTTTAATAAAATAAAATTAAATACATACAATAAAGTAGAATTCATTCCTTCAAAAAACTTAAAAAAGTAGAAAACTCTTATTTCTTTTTATATATATACCTAATTCATAATTTCATATCAACTTTTTCTATTGTCACTGGTTTTCATGTGTAAGTGCATTGCAGGGAATTTAGTGCATGGAAGAAATGCACATTGGATATGAATGACAAGAAGGCTTTTATTTATTTAATTTAAGAGTACAACAACAACAACAACAAACGTTTGCTTATACCAGTAGGAATAACATTACAAGTTACAACATAGCAGAATAGGGACAAATTGAGATATTTATGAGTAATATGAACTTTAGCCTTCTATGCATTCTTTTCATAGGAAAATCTCTGTGCATTGCTTCTTTGTATCATCCGGGCTGGTAACTGGTAAATTAAAAAATAAAATCAATTAGAAAATTCATAGTGTAATAAGAAGAAAAAAGTCAAATGGAATTGACAATTGATGTTCACTCCTAAATTCTAATTCTATAAAGCAGTTAAATTTCCTTTAAAAAAGAAAGAGGGCACTCATGACTGACCTGTGTGGCCCACAGTTTTCTCAGATTCAAAGATCTCATAGTCATTTCCACCCTGTATAAGCAAAAAGTTGAAGTTCACTCACCTTCGACATTGGTTAAGAGTTAAAAAATGAGAAAATAACAATGACCAGACGGAAGAACCCCTTCATAAACTTGGATTAATTTATCAAAAGTGTGTAAACAATAAATTCTCTCTTTTTAAAATGCACATGTCAAGGACAATTTTTTGTGTGAATGATCCTGCGAGCTTTGAACAGAACGGTCTGAAATTTTATATATGTGATTCATAGCAACCACGAACTTGTTAAGATTTTTTGATATGGAAAAGAACTTGTCAAGAACTAGTTAGCATTGATGATAGATCGATATTACCTTATATGTTTTGTCTCCGAAGAAATGAATTTCATTAAATTCATCAAGGTATTTCAAGCAATATGTCTTGTCCCATCCTTGAGGGAAAACCTGTCAAACAAACATTTTTTGGAAATCATGTTTCTGTGCTTGAAATTTTACTGACAATAAAATATCATGAACTCAACCAAACCCATAATCACAAGTATTTACATCAAAGCTAATTTGCCCCCCAATGGAAAAGGTGAGGTTGTGGTGAGCAAATTTTTCTCTAAGAATTGATACCAGTTTTTCTCGTATCTTGTGAACCTGAGCAAATGTTCGACCAATTAGTCACAAATCAAAGTACTAACTTCTCTGTTATAAATGTGAATCTATTAGAATATCAGTTCACAAACTCATGCACTAACCTTATCATACTTCTCAAACTCATCTCGCTCTTCCTGGCTACAATTTCTACCAATTGGAGACACATTAAGCATGCCACTGCGGAATTCAATGAATGTTCCCCTATGAGCAACAGGGACATAGAAAGGAGAAGATATACGTTAAGATTAGGTTGTTTCTTGACTATTTAGTTTTTTTAGGGGAGTCAAAAAATAAATGTGCTCACCTTTTTATCGGAATATCCAAGTCAGCAATATAATGGAGGGTGAAGTTGATGAATTCCTGTATTCGTCAATTGCAGCACACACATAACAAATTAACAATAAAACATGTAGTAAAGCAGAGATACAAAAGAAGGGCTATCACCATGCTTTCCATTGTGTATATAGATTTTAGAAAATGAGCAGCTTCAATGCCTTGCACATATGCAGACTATTTGGAGTGCTTTGCACAAATAGTTAGTCATTACAGATTTTGTAGTTACCTTAAGTTTTTCTTCCCTGAGAAAAGACTTCAAGCTCTGCACAACATATGATATTATAAAATCAACAAGATAGCAAAGGTGAAATAGAGATATTTAAAAGTCAACCCATACAACTAGATAAGGGCAGGGAGAACCTTAATTATATACTTAAACTGTAAGTCATTACGATGAAATGAATAAGTATTAAGGGTAGGACTAAGCTAACAACTGCTGTTGCCGGCGAAGCTAACTTCCTCCTGCGCATAAATGGTTAGCCAACTTTGACATGAAAACAGTGTGACTAAGAACTATTTAGAAAAGAAAGAAAACCACATATTTCTTTCTACAAAGGGAAAGTTGAAAATCTTCTCAGGACAACTAATTTAGGGAAATCGGAAAACCTTCAAGGACAGAGGAAGTAAGATGATATATGTGCATGTTTTCTTCTTCATGAAGTCAGCAAGCCGCAGAGACGCTGAGGCCGCCAGTGCGCCACTCGCCTCGTCGCCCATCGCTTGCTGTCCCCCGCTGACTGTGTCGCTCCGTGCCACTCGTCGCCTGTGTCAGCCCGACAACCTATCTACTCGCCCAAACGGCCCAGCTGAACTACTGATCGCATTGGCGGCGTCGGCTATAGCCCAAAACTCCCACTTTGGTCACTCGCCTGCTGCCCTACTCCACAGCCTCTGCCGCCCATAGCTCCGGAAACCATGGCGCCGGATCCAGCCACCACAGCCCCTCACCGTCTTCCCCCCAAACCTACGTCGGCCCAAACCTCCCTACCGCAACTCAAGCTCAACCCAGAAAACTCTAACTACGCTCCACCACATCCAACCACCACCAGCAACCCAAACACAAAAACAGCCACATTCCGTCCACTCTGCGCTCTTTTGCAGAAGTCCTCACATAAAACACCTCCATGGCTCCATCCCCCTCAAAAAACCCTACCGTTTCAAAGGTCTCCCATCAGTTTCCTTCTCAAAAGAAGAGATACATAAACTGTCCAGCAAGCTTTCTTACGCACTAACAGGAAGTTTTCTGCACGGACGACCCATTCTAGGTGCTGTCAGAACAGCCTTTGAAAAAATTGGTTTCAAAGGACCATTTCGTCTAGGCCAGAGCTCCCCGAAATGATAAAATTTTTCTAATTCCAACCGAGAGATAACATTGGATAGAAAACATAGTTTTGACCTCCAGACAATTGTATGGCTTGGCCCACCTTTCCGCTATTTGATGGGACTTTTGAGCGGAAAAATGGCCAAAAATCCCACTCGCTTTTAATCCTTTTATATATAGATCAAGAACAACCATGACTCTTCAATAAAGTGAAAGACCATTGTGACATTAGTCTTCCCCCTTTTTTTATTTCAAGCCTCCAAGGAGCATCTTAAGAAGTGCTTTTGATGAAATTTGGGATCTTGTCAAGTGTTTGTAATCACCAAGATTCAGAAACTTTATTTCTCCTTCAAATTCAAATTCTATGGGGTTCTAATACTCCCTCCGTCCCACTAACAATGGGACGAGAGGGAGTGACACGCAAACTAATAAAAAGTGGTGTATGTGGTTGATAAAGTAAGAATGATTTAGAGCCACACAAACTTTACCAAATTTGGTATGGGACAAGCTTAGTGGGACGGATCAAAAAAGTAAAATGGGACAATCTAGGCGGGACGGAGTGAGGAGTTTTTTCGTTGGTAGATGAATATTAGTGCTAGCAATATACCCCAAAAAGGAGTTACAAAAAGCTATTTAACATTACCTGTGTTCCAATTAGCTTCCCATCCTTATGCGCAACTAGCCCATTCTCAGAGAATACATAATCATAATCATTTGTTACTGCAGAAGATATTTTACACTTAATTGTGAGTGGGGCTTCCATAACTAGCTGGCCAATTTGGGATAACAAGGAAAAGGACAATTGAAGCTAACCAGATTCTCCAAGCTGTTCTGATATCTTTGCAAGATCAGAACCTCCAACAACACCAACTGTGACTACCTGCCAGTAGCCAATCACTTATTTAAGATGAACCATTGCACGATTGGAGCAAAGCAGCTATAAAGATCTATCCAAAAATGAAGACTTTATTTATACCTTCCTCAGTTCCTGCATGAACTTCAACATCTCTGATGTCGCTTTCTGGGAGTTAGATCAGGATAACAAATAATCATCAATCATGAAATGGAGATTGACAGCAAACACGAGTATTAAAAAAAATAGTACAGTAGTATTAATGGATAGTGGATGCAAATCTGGAAGGCAAGACATGACAACAATCAATAATTCAAGAACAGCACAGAACATATATGCCTCTAACTTCAGTTTTCAACAAAATGCATAGCCATTGTCTCAAATTCACTCGATTTAACTAAAACAAAATCTCTCGCAAGTAATCACTAATTTAAATCAGATAAACCTTAGTACAAAAGATGATAAATATAACAGATTAACATATAATGGAAGGCTAGCGATCAAAATCTGATATGAAGAAACTAAAAAAAAAGAACATGTCTGTACACAGAGATCCACACCTTCCTCGGCGCGGTAAGGGTACCATCAACATCAAACAGAGCAATCAAACCAGGCTTCCTTGCCTCCATCGGATCTAAAGTTGTCACCGTTGAATCCGACCAGAGCCTTTAACCTACAATTGCTTTGTGGTTGCACAAATCAATGTAAGAAATGCTTATAAAACTTAAAAGCACATTTCACTCTCCAAATGCATACATAATCTACACTAGATATAGAGTATAATTATATTATATGTTTATACCTATAAATGTACTCTTGGTACAGTATTTATAGAGAGATGGTTACAAGTAGATGAGAAGGACCGTCGATCCAAAGGGTCAAATGTGTAAAAACAATAAATGACGTAGACGAAAATGCAACGCCGTTACGAAACAAATAACCTAGCTATAGGGGCAGATCTAGCATTCTAATCCAAAGTGGGCCAAAAATTTAATACTCCCTCCGTCCCGCAATGAACTTCCCACTTTCCTTGTTTGGATGTCCCAGAAAGAACTTCTCATTTCCTTAAATGTCAAGTTAATCTACATCAAAACAGTGTCAAACAGTGCAAAACAGTGTCAAACAGTGTCGAAACAGTGCAAAACAGTGCAAAACAGTGTCGAAACAATGCCAAAACAATAAAATTTACCCCATGGTAAGTTTATTTCCTTAATATGTGTGTAGGTCAAACTGTGAAGTTCATTGTGGGACGAAAGGAGTATATGTTAAATTACTTCAATCACAACAAAAAATTAAAATACTACATTCAAAAAATAAATATTACAAATGTTTTTTTCATCAAAGTTAACTACAAAAAACACAGAACAAATCACAACAGTTCTCTACGGATTTTCATAGACACATATAGCTTTATAATGATATCATTGTCAATTTTCAATCACTCCTACTACCAAATTAAGGATCAATTTAGTCAGTTATTCAATTTCAATTGCTCCCCCTATTCCACTTTTTTGAATTTCCTTAAAAAACTTCAACAAATTAATAAACTAACACACTTATTTACTAACTTATTAAATATATTGCTGCAACAGTATCACATCTTTTGAATTCTGCATCAAATGAACCAATTTTAACTTTTTTTATTATGACAGTCCTATTTAGTTTTTCATCATTTCATTTAGTTATTAAATATATTGCATTCATCATTTCATTTAGTTTTACATCCTTGGATTATGAATTTGATTTAGCATGTTTTTTAAAGTTCGGTTGAAATAACTAATTTTAGCCATAAGACAAATACATTGTTGACCAATATATGAGATAAAGCAGGGATAAAGTTTAAATCTCGGAAATACTCGGGTTGCCGGCGGAGGTCGTAGGAGGCGTGCGGCGGTGGGGTGGGTTGGTCGCAGGACTCGCAGCCGTCTCTATTTGTCGGTGGGATGGTCGCAGGACTCAGGTGCAGCTCGGCAGTTGAAAATTGATATACGCTGATTTCAATATTTTAAAAGTTTGGGCTTCTTGACGGCCCATAGAATATGTATCATAGAGTACCAATTAGGAAATTGTCTTAAATAGAATTAAAAACGTTCGTGTATTTTAAAATAGAATTTTTCATGTTTTTATTTCCTAAATATGAGTGATTACTGTCATCTTTAGGTGTATCAGACTTGAAACATGACATTAATTTTCAAGTTTGACAACCATTATTCATATTTAAGGAATAAAAACATATCAGTCATATTTTGGAATTTTGCAACGTTTTTACTCCTATTTTGGAATTTTCCCTAACATTTATGCGTGTGCGGCTAAGGCCTTCGTCCCTTCATTAATCATTATACCTATTAGTATTGAGAAAGAGAGTGTATGTATTAATAACCCTACACATAAGTACTCTAGATATATACTACCTCTGTCTCATTTTATGTGTCTCATTTGAGTTTGATACAATTTTTGATAAAGTTATTGAAAATGTAAAATTTGTAGTTGAGATTTAAGTATAATAAAGTCAAATATTGTGAACCACATATTTCTTTCCAAAAAGGAAAATGTGTCACTTGTTTTAGAACAGTCTAAAAAGGAAAGTATGTCATGTAAAATGAGACGGAAGGAGTAGTATTTATAAACATGGTTATGTTTAGATGAGAAGGACAGACGATTCAAAGGTCAAATGTGTGAACACAACTCTTTGACAGTAATTGACGTAGATGAAATCACAACGCCGTTACGAAACAAATATGCTAGCTAGCAAAAGTTGTAGAATATGTGTAGGAGACTAAGGTTGGATTTTTACTTTAGTAAATCCTGCAAGAATTTCAGCAAGAAAAACTGGCTGATTTTCATATCAGCTATTTCTTTGATTTTGATTGAATGGTGCTTTCACCTCGTATAGTGTAAGATACATATGAGTGCGACACGAGGTTTAAGAAGAGTAAATGTTGACGTTACCGTTTTATACTTCCTATGTTTGACATCACAAAATAAAATAAAAAAGTATGAAAACACAAAAACTGATGGTTTAAATGACATTCCAAGTTATCGCATGAACATACTAATATACTATATATCATACTATGCATACATATTATACACATGTTTCTTTATATATGTGTGGTTATATATTAATATACATTGCCTATACATGAGTATCTAATCAATACCAAAATGTTTCATACTTATTAAATCAATATATGCATACTTTGCTAGTGGGTCGTACGGGGGCTTTGATCCACGTACTCTAAATTTGATAATAGAAAAATTATGTATCATGTTTAAAATTTTAGTATCAAAATTTATAAGAAAAATGATTTATTTGTGCAAGCCTTAATATATCACTTAGCTAATTTATCTATAATTAAATGAAAGAAAACAAAATTACTGTCTTCTTCAATTCATCGTTTTTTGCTAGTAATGTAAATAGTATGAGTTATTATGAACTACGTGCAAATTTTTATATCGAACATTGGATTATGATGTTTTCTTTGTGATAATATTTACATAGAAATATTCACAAGCAAACACACGTTATGAAATTGAAAAAGTTGTAGAGTGCGTGAAGGATACTAAGATTGGCTTGATACTTTAATAAATTTAGCAAGGATTTAAGGAAGAAAAAGTGACTAATTTGTACAATTATTTTTTGTTTTATTTTAAATACTCACCGGGTCCCTTAATATAAGATACGATAGTATATTTGAGTTTGACATGGATTTTAAAAAAGTAAATAATAAAGTTGATATTTTACATGTCTAACCTCTAAAAAGTAAGATAAAATAAGATGAAGCCACAAAATGTGACAGTGAAATGGTTGATAAAGCGACAAAGTGCGGAAGAAAAAGGTTATTGAAATTTAGTTTAGAAAAATGTTTATACTTTTGAGACAACTCAAATAGAATGTATCGTATAAAGTGAGATTGGGTGAGTTATGTTTGATTCAAATATATAAAATTTGTTTGTTTGGCATTTATATTTGCGAGAGTAAGTGTGGGGTGTGTTTCGGAAAATAAAGAAAATTAATTAAAGTAAATTAATTAATTAAAATGACTAGAGAAAAACAAGAAAGGAGATGAAGCAGAATTAGCCAAAGCGTTGTCAAACCGTGTCTTTGTTGCAAAGCACCTGACAGCTATTTATAGGAGGATTTGTTGTGTGTTAAATGGGATGTTAATGGACCTGAACGTTGGACATCAATGACCTGAACGTTGAGAGATAGATTTTTGGACGGCATTCGTGTCCGCAGGTCGCCCGCGCACACGAGTCGCGGTTTTTCTTCTCCGTTTCGGGATTTGATCGGCACCCCCCCTGCGCGTAAGAGAGAGCCTTTCCCTTTAGGAATCTTAACTCCTTAAAAGAGGCTTCCCTTTATAAGGGGGTGAAAATCCCTTGAGTTTTTCGGTGTGGGATAAAACACACTAGAAACTCATCATTTTTTCCAGTTTTTTCATTTCAACGAGTGAACTTCGAGAATCAATTTCTCATTCACCCGTTATCCGTTTTGAGTGTACCACATATCGAATTGTAGCCCTTAACAAGGACAACCCGAAATCACTTTGACCCGACCCAAATCGGAAGTGGACCCCACTCAAATAATTGCCCCAAAATGACCATTTAATGCAATTTTTAACACATTTTTCCAACAGTAAGAATATTATTTTTGTGAACATATCATGGTATGCTACATCCATCTCTTTGAGATCTTCATAGTTCAAATAACATACACTCTAAGAAGTGTTGTTTCTTTGACTTCCTGAAATATTATTGTGTTGAAGGTAAATATTATGGCAGAGTACAATTTTTTACACTATTTGATAGAGTTTAACATTATTTCACAATGCATAATCATTATTATTTAAAAGTATTAGTGTAAGTTGATAAAGAATTACATAATTTATTTTGGGAGTCCTAAAAAGAAAGCAGGAGTGAAGATTTTTAAAGAACGGATGAAATATTAATTTTGTAGTCTGTGAGCTTGAACTTCAATTAGGTTTAAATCATAGGCGATCAATTTTATTCAAAACCCTTATAGCTATATAGTCTTTTCTAACTTAAAGCCTCTGAATTATGCGACAAAATCAAAATGCCGTTACAGAACATATAAGCTAGCTAGCAACAGCTGTAGGGTGCATAAAGGAGGCTAGACTTGCCAATTTACTTTAGTAGATTTCGCAAGAATTTCAGGAACAAAAAAATGATTAGTTTGTGCTCCGTGAAATTAAAGCCTATTCAGAAATATCTAAGTTGCTTTCATCACTTAAAGATATAGTAATTGAAAAAATTATATACGTCCATACATACATGCACGTACATACATACGTACATGCACAAACGTACATACATACAGGTACGTACCTACGTACATGCACGGATGTACATACATACATGCACGTACGTACCTACGTACATGCACGTATGTACTTACGTTCATGCACACACATGAATACATACATGCATGTAGGTACACACAGACATACATACATGCATGCATGCATACACACACACATACATACACACACATACATACATACATACATACATACATACATACATGCATGCATGCATGCATGGGAGGTCAATATGTGTCGAAGGCTGTAATTGACGAAGGCTCGTTTTTCAAACCTTGTTATCATGTGATGTTTCTGTACTTGGTTTCATGAATGTAAAGCCTTCGGGCATGGGGCCGAAGGCACACCCCGCCTATTATGGGCTGCCTGGAGTCTTGTTTGCTGTTGGGCCTGATTTGTTGTAGCGGAAGTATTTGGGTCAGGGGTTCCTGGGCCATATACTCCATCATTACCTTCAGAATTCATTTGAATGTCTCCTCAATTGAAGTTTTAAGTGAAATTTGGTATGAGTAAACTAGACTTAATGAATAAGAAGTTCAAAAAATTTCTTCACAAAAATCCACCATAAATCTTCCCAAATGACGACGGTCTGATAGTAAAGATGCATTTGACATTTTTATGCAATTTCACCTAGTTATTGTATTATTAAGTAAATAGATAACATCTGCTCAACAAGATCCGGTTGTGGTAAAAATCTGAGAATTCAATGCACAGTAGGTAGAGGGGATGACGATGTTACAGTGCAACGTCTCCCATTAATTACATCGAATTAACCTTTTCCTTGGTCGACTACCGTGCGGCTTTTTCTTATTCCTTTTATCATTCCTCCATTGCTAATATGACGGAGTATCTTTGTATTCTAACGCCCAAAGACATCTGTGGAGGGAATGCTCAGCAACCCCATCTTCTATAATTACAGCGAGAGAGAGCGCAGCCTCTATATCTGAGCGTCAGTATTTCATTTCAGAGGAAGAACGGGGCTACTGGGTCAGTTGAAGGGTGAAATATCCTATGTGATGATTTCATATGAACATATGAAGCTTTGAGTTTGCGGTCCTGAGATTCTCTGTTGCTTTGTTTTGTTCTAAGGGTAAAATTGTGTTGGATCATCCGAGATGGGGCTGATTTCCGGGATTCTGATGGGGATTCTGTTTGGAATCGGATTGATGGCAGGTTGGAGACATATGATGAGATATAGGAGCAGCAAGCGAATGGCCAAAGTTAGTTGATTTCTGGTGTCTGTTATCTTGTTTTTTATGCTTACTCATTTCTTCACAATCGATGGCATAGTCGTACAGTTGCCCGTCAATCCTTTGCCTAATTTCTGTAATCTGTACATTACTTGTTACTGAAACTGATGTCTAGAGTAAGGGTGTTCTCTTGCGTGGAGTTCCTTATTTAGATCTTGCAATAGCCAATAGGGTTGAATGCCCGAGTTTTAGTTTGGGAAGGATTTTGAGTGTAATACTATGTCTTAGTAGATAGCAAGTAACTATACTTTAACGTGTGTTTGTGTAGTTTCCATACTGTGCAGATGATTTGCATATGGTGAATTTGTTATGGCCTAATGGTGTGATTACTGTGAATGTATCATTGATTTACAACTTTTGCACATTGTTGCCTTATTGGCAAAACAGTTTTTTACATGAATGGTGCTCTTAATAAGATTTTTTAATGTAATGTTTTATTTTTTGCCTGTCTTCAATCATGATAACAGGTCATGTTATGGTAGTAATATGCATAGTTTTATAAGAAAAAATAGAATTCATTCATCCCCACCCTAATTTCTTGCCTCTGACAGTTCTCCATCGCTCAATTAGTTAATGTGCAAAAGGAAAGGGTAGCCAATGCCTGTGCTGAGTGCTAACATAAGTAATTAAGTACTTCTATTAATGCTTTCATCAGACCAATATGCATATCTTTTGTCATTTTGATATATTAAAATGAACTTATAACTATCTGCTACTTGTAATTAATATTTTTATCTTTAATTTTAATTTATTTCCTGACAGGCAGTTGATGTAAAACTAATGGGATGCCTTGACAGGGATGACTTGAAGAAAATCTGCGGTGATAATTTTCCTGAGTGGATTTCATTCCCTGTCTATGAGCAGGTTGGCCTGCTACTATTCATTTATTTAGTATGTAGTGCTTCTAATCAACTCTCTTTTCTACTTGAGAATCTGATCCGAGTTGGTGTGGGGAAGCTTGTGATGAGTAGATTTTTTGCAGTAAAATAGGGGTTTTCATTATTTTAGCGTTGTAATATGCCACAAGTATTCATCATCAAGTGCTTTGGAAATTTTATATTCGTTCCTTTAGTGTCATTAGAGACAATATATTGTCTATCTCACTCAATCTCATTTTGGCAGGTGAAATGGTTGAACAAACAATTGAGCAAACTCTGGCCATTTGTTGCTGAAGTAAGATATCTGCATGTTTCAAGTTTTGAATTTATGAGATAGATATTGACCTCCAAATAACACACTTTATCCCTGAATCTTCTTGTACTTGTGAATGGATATAACTTTTTTTCCCTGTAATTATGTGATGTAAACCACTGCATTGGCATTATGGTGATGGTTTTGAAGTGTAAAAATTGTATTATGCTTCATTCATGCTATTTTACTCTACTGATCTTTAGATGGCCATGCCACAAATCTATTCACATTGACAATACTCATCGTACTTCCTTGATAGTTACACATCTGTTCCCTTTGCAATTTTCCCTTTTCCTGCTAATGTGCATAATTTTGATGGAGTGCAATGGTTTACTTTTTCCTTGTTGATAATAAAAAATCATGCTCTGACTGATTGACGTATTTTTCTCGGATTATGCTTTCTTTTGATCCACCAGTTCAGGCAATGTTTCTTTTTATGACATTTCTGCAGGCAGCAGAGGCTATTATAAAAATGTCAGTTGAACCTCTACTAGAAGAGTATCGACCTCCAGGAATTTCTTCTTTGAAGTTCAAAAAGCTCTCACTGGGAACTGTGGCACCAAAGATTGAAGGTAACTTGCAACGAAACAATTCAAAATTCGTTTACCTAAACCATAATTTTAATAGTCTTTCTTTTTACTGAAATAATGACTATGTTATTCTAGTTATATTGGTGGATGATCTTTAATTTATGAGAAGCTTAAATCTTGCACATTTGGTTTGTGTGACTTTCAATGCACGTTATACAATAAAAAATGTCCCTCATGGCCTCATGTATAGTCCTTTAGGTGCAGCAAAGAAATTTATATGTAATCTTGACCAAAGGTGTTACCTCTATTTGTAAAATAAGATTCTGACTAGGAAAAATGTAGATGTTATAGCTTGATTATTTATGAGCCCAATTGGTTTCACTTTTATATATGCCTTATGGTTATTGCAGGTATCCGTGTTCAGAGCCTTAAGAAGGGTCAAATCATAATGGATATTGACTTTCGGTGGGGTGGAGATCCCAGCATCATTCTAGCAGTGGAAGCTCTGGTTGCTTCTATTCCCATTCAGGTTGAATGCCCAATCGTTCTTCCTGTCTATTTCTGATTTGTTTCATACAATGTTCTTTGATGTCATTATTTTGATGTTATTAATGCAACTCTCAAACCATTTTTGCAATGTCTGCAGTTGAAAGATCTTCAAGTTTTCACAGTCATTCGTGTTATCTTCCAACTGTCGGAGGAAATTCCATGCATATCCGCTGTTGTTGTTGCTTTACTTTCTGAGGTATAATTTTAGTGCAGATGTGCATCATGATGCACTGGTGCTTGTAATAGAGGCGGAGAAGAACAAGTGGAAATCAAGAAATTTAGCTGGATAAAGGGAGTCAATCAATTACAAATTTTGGGACTTGACTCTGGAAATGAGAGACTTGAATGTCACTCACATAATTCTTCAATCAAATTGATTGAAGAGTTATATGAGTAAGATGTAAGCCTCTCATTTCCAGAAATTAAGTCCCAAATTCTGTAATTGATTGAGACTCCCTTTATTTTGCTTGATTTCCTTTGCCTCTCTATCAGCTTGCATTACCAATGTTGAGACATAGTTCACCTCCTATTATGGGATGTGGTCACCCTTTTTCGTCATTCTTTTTCTATTACTCCTTTATCCCCTTCTCTTCTTGATTGATTACACTAGATGCCAAAATTGGAATCTAGTGTTAGTTCAAGAATATAGATACCTCACCATCCCATTATATTATTTCCTTTTCCAAAAAAAGAATACGGTGACTAAGGATGTGTTAGCTAGGTTAAATAGTCAATCCTCTGAACAACATTACAAAATAAAAAAGCAAGAACTTATCAAATTCATTTTCACCTGGCTCGGTGTTTCTCAGGTGTATGATATTCTTGCAACCGTTAGTAACTTATGCAATCATCCTTTATTCTTGTCTCATAATACAATATTGAATTGGTTATTAGATGCACATGGTGAATCTGAAATCTGAATAGTACAGGTTTAGCGTTTTGTTCTAACATGTATTGACTAACTTATTCTTTAAAAGAGAAGCCTGATTGTTACCCTTTCAATTCTATCAGCCAAAACCAAAAATTGATTATGTGTTGAAGGCTGTTGGTGGAAGTTTGACGGCCATTCCTGGACTCTCAGATATGATTGATGTAAGTATAAACATTTTCTCTTGTTCAATTTTGTTATTGCACATCTTAGCTGTTTTTCTCCTGCCCCACTGATAGTGCTACTCATCTTCATAGGATACTGTAAATACAATTGTTACCGATATGCTACAATGGCCACACAGAATTGTTGTTCCAATCGGCGGCATGGATGTTGATACAAGGTCTAATTTGATTTCCAGATGTCTTCTATTATAGCCTACCTTCTTAATATTCACTTTTCATAGTGTATACTCTGTAGTCTGTAAGATGGAGTATCGATAACTATATGACTTACCGAATAACTAATAACAGATGATTTCTTTTCGATGACATTTTTGTGTATAACGCAGTGATTTGGAGCTTAAGCCACAAGGGAAACTTACAGTTACTGTAGTCAGGGCTACTAACTTAAAGAACCAGGAAATGATCGGAAAATCTGATCCATACGCAGTTGTACATATCCGTCCACTGTTCAAGGTTAAAACAAAAACTATTGATAACAACCTCAATCCTCTTTGGAATGAGACATTTGAGTTAATCGCAGAAGATAAGGAGACACAGTTTGTTACCATTGAGGTTAGTCCTTTGCCTTTCCTTTTGTTTAGCTTGGAGTCTTGTTTTACAGTGTAATTTGCAATTATACATTATACAGAGTATTTTTAATTTAAAACACATTGTCTTGCATTGTATTGTCAAGTGCCTCCCAATGTGGCAATATCTGGAAAAGTTCAACTGACTCTTTACTTTAATCAGTTAATGTATCTCGAGAACATAAACACTAAGTCTTAAATTCTAATGTATCCATTAGAAAAGATCTCCTGAGACTAAATAAATAGTCAAGTGTCTAACTTTTTACATGCTTGGCAAAGATTTGATCATGCATTAAACCACATATTATAGAGCCAAGTCAAGCCCATACTTTACAGGAGCAAGTAATTTGAAGTAGATTATATAGTTATTTATATTGTGCATTATCATGGCCTGTAATCATTATATTTTCCAAACAGAACCAATGGATTATAGTTTAAGTTTCTATGGTAACCCTCATCCTTGCAGGGAAAAATATTATTAAGTGGTTAAGTTACTATTGTTAGTTTTATTTATTTTTATTTCTTACAGGTTTATTTGAAAGAAGTTGAACACGAATTTGTTTGATATAGAAGTTGCGTGCTAGAATATTCCCTCAAATCCTTGTGTAATTTGTTTTGTTGGTTGTGCGTTGTGTTAAATGTGGACCACAGGGTCATGTTTATCACTTTATTTCTCTTTTTAAGATTGTATATTTATACGACTGCATTCACTATCGAGTTCCTCTTAACAGGTCTTTGATAAAGACAATGTTGGGCAAGATGAGCGAATGGGTGTTGCTAAGTTACCTTTGAAAGATTTAGAAGCTGAAACCCCAAAAGAAATTGAGTTGAAATTGCTGCCAAAACTTGATATGCTTAAAGTCAAAGACAAAAAGGATAGAGGGACCATTACAATTAAGGTGTGTGTATATTACCTGCTGTTGATTATACAGTTGAGTGGTATCTGGTTATTTTGGAATATGAACAATGTTTAATGCTTGTCTTGTAAGGGCTAATTTGGGCTAAAATGGCTAACTTGTTGGTGAAGTATTTGAATTGTAAAAATAAAATTAAAATATATGTTTTTGATAAAATAAAGAAAATATACTCCTTCCATTTTTGTCATTGTAGGGTTTCCGCAGATTCTAAGTGCAAAATATTGGGGGTAATGAATAAACAGTATAAGAAAAAGGCAGTAAAGAGTAAACAAAAACGTAGAAAAGCAGGGAAGGAGTAGAAAAAGTGAGATGGTAGTGGCCAAAAATAGTAGTGGAGCAAATATTAATAAATTAATAAACTTTCGTAAAAGGAACAAGGAGCAACTAAAAAACGGAGGGAGTATAGGTAAAAAGGCTGAAATTATCAAACTTCAGCAAAAACAACCTCCACCCTGTTTATTTTATTAGTAAACAAGTCAACTCGCACAATCAAATAAATATTTAGTAAAAAATCTCTCTGATAAGTAGAAAAAGCCTACCAGACAGCCATTTATTTCTATTCCTTGGTAATTTCTTGGTAAATTGAAGCTAATAAATATTCTGAGTTCTTGAACTACTTCAGGTGTTGTATTATGAGTTCAATAAGGAAGAACAGGAAGCTGCACTGGAGGAAGAGAAGAGGATCTTAGAAGAAAGGAAGAAGCTGAAAGCAGATGGGGTGATTGGGAGCACAATGGACGCCCTAGACGGGGCGGCATCACTTGTGGGCAGCGGTATAGGTGCTGGTGTTGGGGTGGTCGGTAGTGGTTTTGGAGCCGTCGGCAGTGGACTAAGTAAAGCTGGAAGGTTTATGGGTAGGACCTTCACCGGGGGTAATTCTGGAAGCAACACGAAGAGTCAGAGGAACAGTACCTCATCCACCACCACAGTGAACCCACCTGTTCAAGAAAATGGTGCCTCTAAGCCTCTGTAGAAAACCGAATAGCTTTTCTGTCACACTACTAGGCATTTTTTATTAAACGCTTGGATTCACTTCATCATGTTTATACATTCTGTTCTGACTTCACAAGTGTGTTGGTTTGCTCTCCACCCAACATTGTACAGCATTTGCTCGTCTCCCTTCAATTTTTAAATTGTTCTTGTAGTAAATTCTAATTTTGTGTTTTTTGTCTATTTCATCCCATTGATCATAAACTCCGGAGTCCGCAATAAACTTGTTTAACTTGCTAGCTACTTCGTATTAAGCATGTTGCTGTTCTGGTCAATGGAGGACCATGTTGAGAGTCCCATGAGTCCTGAGGAGCTGTGGACTGGAGGGGAGAAGGGAAGGGGGGCTAGGCTGGGGTAGGGGGCCTAGGCTGTTTCACCCACATGGGTGATGTCTTTTGGCAACGGCGTGACGGTTTCGATGGAAATTATCACCGGAAAAACTGATGAAAAAATTTCTCGTAAGTTGCATGAATATATGGTAATGACATTTAGTGGTGGACTCGGTTCGGGCCTTGAACCGGCTGGGCCTTGGTTCACGGAAGGCAGGCTCGGAACCGGCCCGGATAACCCCGGCTCCGGTTTGGTTCGGGTCACCCGCCCGGTTCACGGGCCGGGCCACCCACTGGGTTGGGCCTTTTAATTTTTTTATTATATATTAGGGAAAAGTACGGATTAGATACCTGTGGTTGTGGGCGTTTTCACTTAGGGGTATGTGATGATCTTTGTAACAAACGCAGCCTCGTGTTTTGCTACCGTTACCACTCGTGGGGGTCCATTGGACCTGGCCGTTAGTTAAATGCGATGTGGCATATATTTTTTTCCAAATAGGCTCCAGCGTGGCCAATGGAGAGCAAACAACTGAATTCTTAAAAAACCAAAAGCTTAAGTCAAATTAGGGATTAATAAAATACGATTTAGGCGCAATCGGAAGTTCTTCCTGACATTGGTTCTTCACATGCGTTTGGAAAGAAGAATAACTGTTGGTCGCAGCAGACAAAGGACAAGAAGTCACGGACTGGGGTATGGAAGTTTAGCTACTTTCGTGTTAATGTCCTGAGGTCAGAGTAAGTACTTCAACTATTATTTATTTTGAAGTTACACCGTCAATGGTCTTTATTTTGAGCAAAGGACTGGTCGTCTTTAGAGTTTTAGGTTACACCGTCAATGGTGTTTTGAAACCTGGTTGGTTGGTGTATTAATGTGTGAATGGGTTTGTTTTGAAACCCGGTTGGTAGTTTTGCAGAGTAGCACTTTAAGTTGTCATGTTTTTATGGTTTGGGATGTTTAGGTTGTCCGCATTCAATGTAGTTGCAGGTTGGGAATGAGTGATTACATGAATTTGAAAATTCATCATGGTGGAAAGTGGGAATGTCCAAGACAAAAGAAAACGTATGTGGGGGGCTAGGTTTTGTTTAAACAAAAAGTTGACATTGACTATTTGAGCAAGTTTGAATTAGATGGGTATGCAAAAGATTTGGGTTATACAAATGGGGTCCAAATGTGGTTCAGAAGATTCTCAATAAGGGAGTTGTGTGAGCCAGTAAATTTGCAAGAGATAGTATGTGATAAAGATGTCCAAGACATGCTGGTGTGTAACATCATGGACCCACATGTTGACTTGTACTTTGTTGCAAACACTAGTAACAAACGGGTGGTGGGTACTTTACCACAACATACAACCCAATCCTCACAGGAAACCCAAAGTCCTGTCCCAAGTACAACACCAAGTAAAGACCAACCTGCAGTACCACAACCTCTAGATGCACATCAATTTGTGGGTGTATCAACTACATTTGTGGAAACAGAATTAGAGAGTGATGAGGAAGATGAAGACTATGTAATTCAAAGTGGTTCTCAAAGTGCTTCAGGGGAGCATTCCCAAGAAGGAGATCCCAATATCAGTGAAGCTAGCTGGCTATCCCAAGAAGAACTAGAAGGGAGTGAAGATGATGTCTTTAATCATGAAAGTGCAACATTAAACCAACAACCACAAGGAGATCCTGAACCACCTTCACAACCCAACACTTTTGGGCTTGAGGATCTGAATGAAGAGCAGCTTGAGGAGTTTAATGAGAGGCCCTGCTATAGTGATAACCTGCATAGCATTGTAGGATCTGATGAAGGTGATGCCAAATATGAAGAGTTCAATGAAGAAACAGGTGCTACACATCCAGAATTGTGCAAAGGTTTGAAATTTAGTACACATACCTCCTTTAGAAATGCTCTTAAGGATTGGGCTGTCAAGGGTGGATTTGAATTTAAATTTGTGAAGAACAATAGATCTAAAATCACTGTGGTATGCAAAAACAAGGACATATGTTCTTTCAGAGTTCATGCTTCTAAACTTCCTGAGTGTGGGTCCTTTCAGATTAAGACATTTAGGCCAAAACATGAATGCCCTTTTAGTAATAGAAACAGCTTGGTCAATAGTACATATTTAGCTAAAAAGTACATGAATGAATTGAGGGAAAATCCTGAATGGGATGTCAGTGCTATGCAAAAGTCAGTGCAAAGACAATTAAGGGTTGACGTAAGTCTGGCAAAGTGTTATAGAGCTAGGATTATGCAGAGACTGTAGTTAAATTCAATCATGGGAGTGTAGTCAAAATAAAAACTGAAGCTAGGGATGAGATTGTAGAAGGTGCTAATGCAGAGGGTGGTCCAAGAATGCCCAAGGAAATTCTGATGCTTCAGTACATGTACGTGAGATTTAGTGCACAGAAGCAGGGGTATTTTGCAGGTCTTAGACCCTTAATTGGGTTAGATGGCTGCCATTTGAAAACACCTATGGGAGGGCAACTACTATGTGCTGTAGCAAGGGATGGAAATGAAAACATGTTTCCTCTTGCTATAGCATATGTGGATAGTGAAGATAAAGCTTCATGGACTTGGTTCTTGCAAGTATTGTTTGAAGACTTTGGCAGACCAGAGGAAACTAAATGGGTTTTCATGTCTGACAAAAAAAAGGTAATAAAAAAGTACTTATTTCTTGTTTAATAAAACATGTGAATAACTTCTTTCTGTTACTGTGTTTTTAATTGCAAGCTTCTTTCAGGGTTTAGTTGATGCATTCAAGGCTGTGTCACTTGCAAATGAACACAGATACTGTGTGAAGCACATGTATGAGAACTACAAGAAAATCTTTAGAGGGGCTGAGTACAAAAAGAAGTTGTGGTTTGCAGCTAGCACTGGAAGTCTGAGGTCATGGGAGAGGCAGATGGAAGGAATAAAGAAGTTTGATGAGGGTGCTAATAACTGGATTATGCAGTATGACCCAAGTACTTGGAGCAGATCTCATTTTTCAACCCAAGCACAGTCTGATGCTTTGCAGAATAACATTTGTGAGTCATTCAATGCATACATACTTAGAGCTAGAGATATGCCTATTTTGAGCATGTTTGAGTGGATTAGAAGAAGGTTGATGGCTAGATTTCATGTCAAGTACACTGCCATGACTAAGTATAAGGGTGATATTTGTCCTAATAAGCAAGATGTACTAGAAAAATTTAAATTTGAAAGTAGGAATTGTTTTTCTACGCCTGCTGGAGACAAGCTGTTTGAGGTTGATTTCTATGACACTAGCCATGTGGTTAATCTTAGAGACAAGACTTGTACATGTCGAAGGTGGGATTTGAATGGGATCCCTTGTAAGCATGGAGTGTATGCTATATATGCCAATAGAGAGAAACCTGAAGACTATGTGAATGCTTTTTATGCTAAATCCACCTATTTGGCTGTGTATAAACACATAATCCATCCTCTACCAAGTAAAGATGAGTGGGAGAGGTCAGATACTCCAGATATTGAGCCCCCAATTCCTAGAAAACCTGCAGGAAGACCCAAGAAAAAAAGGATTAAACAACCAGATGAAATTAGGAATCCCTATAAGGTGTCTAGGGCAGGTAAGCAGGTCATATGTGGCAATTGTAAGCAAGTGGGCCACAATGTAAGAGGGTGTAAGACATCCATAACTGGAGAAACACCATGGCAAAGGAGAAAGAGGTTAGGAAAGCAAAAATCTACCCAAACAAGCCTAGGTGGTGATGATCACACAGCTGACCCAACCTCTCATGACCCAGAGCAGACTGGCAATAATGAAACTCTTCATATGTCAACTCCCATTGCCCATGATCCAGTTTCCCAAAGGGGTGAAGGAAGAACAAAGAAGAAAAGAAGAATAAGCAGTTCACAACCACTCCACCCAGCAGCCAGAAGAGTGACTAGGTCCTCAAGTTCACAACCCTCAATGGTAGTATTTTGTTCTTCATTTTTACTGTAACCTAATCTTTAGTGTGTTGTCTTTACACTTACTGTGATGTTATTACTTATTTCAGGATCCAAAGCACTAAGGATGGAGTGATGGGAAAGAAGTCATCATGCAGTTGTGAGGATGTGCTATGTTTTAATGGAGTCTAGGGAGATGAAGCTGAGTAGTTTAGAAGATATGCTATGTTTTCAGTTCACTTTTATGTACTCGTCAATCATGCCTTTTATGAGCATGCGTTTTTAATGAAACTTATGTAAGAAACACCTTTGACATGTGTATTGTTATGAACTTGTTGTATGACATTGGAATCTAAGTTCTTTTGGGTATATTATGAAGTAACTTCACACTATGTTATCAAGTTCTGAAATGACAGTGCCATGTAATTTGTGTTAGATGTATGCTTTTAAACATTTATATATATATGCTTTTAATAGATGCTGTCAAACCAAATGTTGTTTTGTATAGGTTATTGTTCAAACATTTATCAACCATTTGGGTATATATATGCTCTTAATGGATGTTATCAAACCAAGTGTTATGTTTCACAGGTTTCTTTTATAACACCAAATGGTCTGTATTTGTGAATGAATCCTTGTGAAACCAAATGTTTTAGGGATGTTTTATTAAGCTCTGTTTTTCAGTATATGTGGAAACACAAAGCTCTTTTTTAGGGATAACAAACTTCACACAAAGCTCTTTTTTAGTTCATACACTAAAGAAATTCAGCTCTGTTTTAGTTCATACATTGTTACATTTCATTACACATCACACAAAGTTCATATATCAGGCATCAAACATTGTTACATTTCAGCTCTGTTTTAGTTCATACACTAAAGAAATTCACACAAAGTTCATATATCAGGCATCAAACATTGTTACATTTCATTACACATTACACAATGGAAACACACTACAAATGAAAGTGAATACAATGACATCTGGTTCAGCCATTTCATGAACTTACACCTAAAACCTT